TGAATAGTGACCTGAATTTCTTATGATTCTGGAACTTGTGTTTTGCCTGTTAATGTGTTTTGGCTCAGCTGATGAAAGTATCACAGCCAAGTCTGCAGCTGAATCATATCAGTGGGTTCTTTGGAGGCAGCGGTGTGAACAGAGCACTGCTGAATGCCAGAAAGCCTTGACTGCCAGGGGGGCTGCTGGAAACTCATGCCAGACATGGCCCATCAGTAGCTTCAGGGCTGCCCTGACTTAGGCTGGTGCTAATTGCCTCCTGGCAGCCTCAAGAGATGCATACAGACAATTTTGCTGCCTCCTGCTGTCTCAGGCCCTGGTCACAACACACCTGGGACCACCCTGAGGACGAGAACCTGCATGCAGCTGCAAGCAAAATCACTGTGCCTTTCCCTGCCAGATATAAAAAACTCCATTAAATGGGTATTCAGTTTGAACCACAAGCTGTAAACACAAGCCAATGTATGAAATGGACTATGTCTTCAGAGCATTTACATGGCTTCTAAAACTGATTCTGACTGTAGGTAAGTCACTACACAGTAATAATTCTTCTGAGTAAGATCAGACTTGAAAAGGGATCGTGTATTTTTTTGCCTTTACTGTTTCTAGCCAAATGTACTACTCTTGCACTTCCACAGCATCTGCTGCTTGAATATATCAGTTGAGTAAATGCCACAATACTTGGGTAAATCTTAATCCATTAATGAATGCAAAGCCAAGGCACAAAGAAGTGATTTATATAATTATGAATACTAATGAGTATGTACTTCAAGATGATTACATTCCACGCACTTATAAACTCTTCTGAAGACATAAACATTTTAGAAATAAAGTGAGCTGTGTTTTTCTTACTAATTTTTTTTGAGAAATGAACTTGAATATTCAATTATGGGTTTATTATTCTGTGAATCAGTTTGCAGTGATCAGTGGAGATAATTTTTAGTATGAAAATGTTATTCGTGCATATTACAGTTCCAGGCATATATTATCCTTTCATGAAAACATTTCAATCTTCCAGTCTTTATGCAAAAGATTGGCCTGTGGGCTCTGCACATGATGTAAATTAAGTTCTTGTTTGGCTAAATCTGATTACCCAGTAGGGTACCAATCTTGCTTAGTGACAGTAGAAGCTAAGAATTTCAAGCAGGACAGTCCACTTGAAATGGAGCCAGGAAGGGTCAGTTTCTAAATAGCAAATCTGAGGTTTGAACTAGATTTTAATATTATCCTTAAGAATGTTCAGTTAAACATAGAAACTGTCTCCTCCATTGCTTTTAAATATCATAGTGAAATTGAGAAAAGCTCTTCTTTTTTTAAGAAGTTCAGATCTTTATTAATCATATGCAAAGATGCTGCAATCACTTTAACCCAGCCTTTAGTCAGTCTGCAGCTTAATTCCCAATTCCCACTTCCTCTTACTCCTCGCATATTCTACCAAAATTAATGCTCCAATAGAGAAATTCAGTGAATAGCAAAACCCCACACAGATTATCAAAACAAAAACACCACCAAGTCAATACAAACTAGAACTATTTGACTATTACCAAAATACTATTGCTTTATTGTGGACTTACTGAGTGCATGAGAGAGACTAAAAAGGCATATGCTGACACTACTGAATATGAAATACTGCTGTTCCTTCTGACAGGATTAGCTAAATACTTAAATGATAAGAACACTCCCTTGTATTTTTTCCTATATTCAGAAAATGTGCACAGAAAAGTCACTCTTTGATCTATTTCACTAGCTTCAGTTACAGTAGCAGGCTTTTGTATACATATAAAAATTTCATTTTTAGTAGTCTCCTTGGCTTTCCTTTGATGTATAAAGGTTTTATGATCAATAATATCTAAAAGCAGCTGGTGTTATTGCAATTGCTCTGAGTCAAGGAAAAAACCCAACAAAAGTAATGCAACACTGGTGAAAATGATACAGCTTTTGGCTATTCAGAAAATGTAATTATCTCAGTAAATGCATGTGGTTTTTAGTAATAAGATTCAAAATTTCAGACAGATTATTTTTAATAACGTCTTTTCACAGTGGGTCTATGAGATATTTTAAACCAGACTTCAACACTTACCTAACAGTTAAATACCTCAATCCCTCAATAGGTTTTAGATGAAGGGACTCAGCACTCCACACAGAATCCTAATGAATTTGAAGGGGGAAAAGGATAAAACCAGGCCTGGAGAAAGCCTGGGGGCAACACAGCAATGTGTGAGGGATGGTGTGCTGGGGAGATCCTTTCATCTGCTGTCTTGATGGAGATGGGGGATGGAGATCCATGTGGCAGCAGTGACACAAGGGACATTGATGTGTTGGAAACCACTGAAGTGCCCGAGAATCATCACATGGAAGGTCCTGCTTGACTGACCCAATCTCCTGCAGAGAGGATAAGGGAAAGGCTGTGGATGTTGCCTTCTAGACTTCAGTAAAGTTTTGAGTGTTTTCCACAGTATTCTCCTGGAGAAACTGACTGCTCATGGCTTGGATGGGTGCACTCCTCACAGTTAAAAACTGTCTGGATGGCTGTGCCCAGAGTGCTGGTGAATGCTGCTGCATCCATTTAGCATCCAGTCACAAGTGGTGTTCCCTAGGGAAGTGTTGGGGCCAGTTCTGTTTAATATCATTAACAATGATCAGGATGAGGGGATCAAAGACACCCTCAGTCTGCAGAAGACACCAAGCTGGGCAGGGGTGTGATCTGCTGAAGGGCAACAGGGCTCTGGACAGGCTGGATTGATGGGCCAAGGCCAATAGGGTGAGGGTCAACAAGGACAAGCAGAGGTCCTGTCAACAGTGTCGGAACACAAGGCAAGTGTGCCCAGGAGCCAAGGCCAGTGTCATCCTGGCCTGTATCAGGAATAGTGTGGTCAGCAGAGCCAGGGCAGTGACCATTCCCCTGTACTCAACAATGGTGGGGCCACAGCTCAGGTGCTGTGTCCAGTTCTGGGCCCCTCAATTCAGGAAGGACAGGGAGGTGCAGGAATGGTACTGCTCTCGACCACTGCCCCTAAGGAGGTTGTAGAGAGGTGAGGGTTGGTCTCTTCTCCCCAGTCACAAGCACCAGGATGAGAGGAAACGGCTGCAAGTTGTGCCAGGGGAAGTTTAGATGAGATGCTAGGAAAAATTTCTTCACCAGAAGGGTTGTCAGGCAGCCCAACAGGCTGCTCAGGGGAGTGGCTGAGTCACTGTCCCTGGAGGTATTTAAAAGACAAAGTAGCTTGAGGCTTAATCCTAGCATGATCCATTGTATGCTGATATTGGTTTTGGGTGACAAACACTAAAATTACAGGTTCAGAAAACAGTTTTAACTGTGAATTTACAGAAGTACAATCCAAATCTTCCATTTGAATTCCCACAGCTCCCCCATGCCAAACAACATGTATCTGCATGATGAGGCACATTAACTCATCTGATATCGAACAGTTTTTTCTTTGGATTAGTTTGAGTAGTGAATCAATTTCAGCAGGCAGACACAAAAATGTCTGTGTTAATGGAAGTGAGCAGCTCAGAAAATGAAAATGCTTTTGATTGACCTCTACCCATTTAAAGCATATGTGAAACTACCTTAGGGATGTTATACACAGACTGTCAGAACATATGGCCATTAACCACCAGTCCACTGGGGCTCTGGTCTCTCCCTTTCTAGGATATTTTCTTGTATTATCCAATTATTGTCTTACGTCAGAACTACCTATTAAAGTGTGCATTCACATTGTGGTCAAAGTTTACATACTGTAAGATATGATTTACTGTAAAGCATTCGCAAATATTTTCAAAGTGTTGGTGATTATCTGAGCAAACACCATTAATGACTGTTTTCATTTACTAATAACACTTAAAATCACAATTCAGGGGCCACTTTAGACCCCAATAATATAGTTGTATGAAACACTGCTACTTTATTAGTAACATTTATTTTGCAGAAAAATTATTATGGCTGATGTGGACAAAGCTCTTTTTGCTCCAGTTGAAAAAGTCTATGAATAAATCATGTCATGTTTAGATACGAAAAATAGGTCAATGGCTACTGAGATGATGTTTCCAAAAGCAGAACCTTCCCTACAGCACAACTTCAGAACATTTCATCTGACAGCATACATTCTTTTTAACAGAATCCTCTTAGTGGGTACTGGATAAAAAAAAAAAAATAATTTAACTGTATAAATGGACAGAGAGAAGATAGTGAGGAATGAGACCTCATTTAAATTAAAAATACATGGCATAACATTTTAGGACTTCACTTGAACCAAGCTCCTTCCAACTGATGGTACTTATCTGGAGGCCACAAAAACAACCCTCAGGCAAGTTGTTTTCAGTGCCTTGGAGAAACTGGTGAGAGCAGCACATTTTTTTGGAAGAAATGAACCAGGAGAAAGCAGGGCATTCATGTAGTAATGTTCTCCATGCAGGAGTTACCAGATTCATCTTCTACCAATATTAAATGACAGGCAGAACATTTGTTAAATTGGTCAGCCACTAAAACATTTATCAATCATGGATCAGAGGAGCTCTTGTCCAAGGGAGGCACATTTCTTTTAATTTTAAAAAATCTAAGAATATCCTATTGCATTAGCACTTAATATTAAGTAATATCTTTAATCTTTATAAAAAATAGCAAATAATCACACTGAAGAGAGGATTCTTCTAAATTGATTGTATAAATACCCAAAAGTTATATTTGTTTCTTCACCCATTTTGTATTACTTATGGATAGCTACTGCCCCAGGCAAGCAAGTGCTGCAAAATGAGCCATTTTTGTCTTTATATACTAATATAGTTAGTGGAGACACCATTCTGAGACCAGAGTTCAGGTACAGCACACTGAATCTCATATTATTTAGCAGCCATAACTCTACAGTGCAAACAGGAAAGTCATTCCATCTGATATGAACAAGGAACAGCTTTTAAGTTTTCTTGGTTGTGTTTTGGTGGAGAAATATTTTACATATTCTTGGAGTAAAGGGTATAAAGGAAATCTACATACTGCTTATAAATTAAGACCAGTGTTGACTTTTATTTACATAATTTAACAAACAAATTCAAGTAATTATTGCATCAACCATTCAGATTTTGAACATTACTATAAACCACAAGTTTACAGCATACAGTGTTGCATTCTTCATAGAGCTGGGATTACTGTTCTACATTTTTCTTTCTCCGACGAAGCCACCTCAGAGCTCTCACCAGTGCCACTTGTCCCATGAGGAATGTGATCCTAAAGTTACGTTTATACCAATCTCTAGGATTCCAAAGCCAAGAAAATCATCAGCACACAGAACAAGAACAGGAAAAAGATACACAATTATATTAAAATATCCTTTGGCATTGACGAATGAATTTCAGTGATTACCTGCATTTTCTGTTCTCTGTGGTAACACTTTTCCTGCCTAATAAGAGTTAAATAACCCACAAAAAAGTCTATGTGCATATCCACATTCATGAGCAGATTACATGTGGATTACAGGGTTGCAACTGTATTTGAAATCAGGCGAGATAAAATAGTTAAAACCATGTCTCATGTTTCAGAAGTAAAGCTGATCACCAAGCTGCCTTGGTGATAGCTTCCTGCCAGTGCTGTGCTTCAGCTAAGATTTGTTTGTATGTGGATGAAGATACCTGTGTTGAAAAGGGCAGAGTTGGTCTCTTATAAGAGTTGGAAAAAGTAAAATCAAATCACACTTCAAAGGCTAACTGTACAAACCAATTTGGGAAAAGCAGTATCTTTTAAATATAATGCCTTTAATATTGTGAAAGTTAGTCTTTATATCTTTAAATAATTTTTATGAATCATGCATGGCTTCTGGAACCAATTCAAATTGTTCACAGTATAGTCTGCATCAGCCCTTTTTAACCTCTGAGAACTTACTTCAAGTTCTTGCCCCTGTTAAAAATTAAAATATCATTTTTTTCCTAGTTTCTAACAGGGATCTCACTCCCATGTTGTAAAATGCTCACAAGAACCAATATGATATGTAGAATTCTAGAACTAGAACACTGGTCTTGAGATGTCTGGGGCAAACCTTGCATGCACAGATCTAACATAAGCCTGAGATACCAGCCTCTCAGTGAGGATAGCAGCCAAATTCACACTGACAGGCAGCACTGAGCTACCCCTTCAAATATCATGTTAAATAAAAATATCATTATAGCATTGCAACTGTTTCTTTTCCCCTTTCACGTTTAATTTCCAATAGCCTTCTTAACTTTTTTTTCCAAAGCTAATTTTTTTCCATTCTAAGCACCTTAAACTAAATATTCAAGGCATCTATGCATAGTCATTGCTTCAATTTTAACTAGATTTTAGAAGTTGCAGCACCTCAGCTGCCAGTTTTCATGCCAGCTGGCAATACTGCAAAAGAACATACAGCTAAATGCAGACAGATTTTTATAAATATGACCCCTCAAAATCAGAATGCCTATAAAAAGCTCTGCTGTTTTCAGGGCTGTGCAGTTCCACTTTAAAACTACAACAATGCAGCTGAAATAAACTGATTTTACAAGTCAGCAGCAAGGAAGCCCATGTTTAAGCACAAAGCCTGAATTATCTTACTCAGAAGATGGGACAGTATCCTAAGGTCACTGCAACAATGACAACAGGTGACCAGTTCCAAGATAAACTATTTGCATTCCCACTTATCAATTACAGGCAATGTACTGACAATCCTTTCACTAAAAACAATTTCTTACTTTTCATGCTGTTGCTTTGTATTATAAGTGAGGCTCCCCCCTGCCCCTCTCCGGGCAAGATAAGATGTGCATATTTAAATATTTGTTAGTTAAATTGTTCATACAGGCTAGTATTTTATGGTTTATGCACAATACACACAAAGAAACTTAAGCCACCATTTGTAATACATCAGTTGCAGTGATGGCAGAATTCTCACTAGCATTACACCATTAGGAACCGAGGTACACTTGATACTTTTGAGCCCAATAATTTCCCAATTCAGTACAGAGAGGAAACTGCAATTGTGCTTTCACATTCAGCGGTCAGTATTCCTGGATTATGTGCTGTCTTCCTCCACCTTCCCATTCCTCCCTCATTTCTAGCCATTTTTCAATTGTGCACAGCTACTTGCAGGGGTATGTGTGTTTGCAAGTCATTTCTCACCCTTTTCAGATCCCCAATCCAGTTTATGGAGCTGTACACACAGCAGCACTGAAACAATGCAGGAGATGCTGTGAAGAGTTGGGCGTGGCTTTACCAAGCTGTAGCTGAGGTTCTATCCAGGACGAGTCAGGTGATGAATTTATGCCTCACCAAACTCAAAAGCTGATCACTTTTTTACTAGACACTTGTAAAATAATAGACCCAAGATTATTAAATATTACTCCCATTAAATGATTTTCCTTTGAGATAGATCACATTTACTTGTCCTTATTTAACAGTCAGCTAGCATGTTATACAGAACTTTCAAGTGGTCTATCTGCATATTTATCAGTTTCAATTAGCAGCATGAAAAGACCCGTGCCCTAAGATAATAAGATGTGCCTGATCTTGTCTCTTTAAATCTCAGACTTGAGCTTATCTTTCCACTAAAACAACAATAAGCAGCAGCAGCAGAACTCAAATGATAATGCAAATTTCTGTCAAATGCTAATAACAGCATTAAAGAAATAATTTTCCACCATTACTGGGGTTTGTGCTGTTTTACCAATTACAGAAAATATGTTCAAATTTTAAACTTAATCTTATACCTTTTACTTAGACTGTAATGTATAATGGTCAACATAAATACCTTCTACATACCTGTTATACTGCAAATGCTTTTTAAAATTTTTACTTAGAAAGTCCTTGTAAAAGTCAGCCATTTCTTCTGCATTCAGTGTTGCTTTCCGACCTGAAAATAGGTTTTGGTGTAACAAAGTCAAGGCAAGTCTTTGGATCAAAACACTGGGTTCAGATGCTAGGTCTAACTCCTTGCTCTTACAAGTTTTCTGTGCAACCCTGACTAAGTTAATATGCCTTTATCTTCCAACTTTTTAAAACTTATCTAGAGAGCACAGCAGATTAAAAATACTGATCATCTTGAAGCTGGCATGTCCTTAAATCCCTATTACTTGTGGAAGTGATCAAGTGTATCAGCTCTTAGACTATTTAGGTAATCAGTGAAACCCTATGAAAATATTCATAGATCTAGAAGTATCTATCCTTTGAATAAAATAATTTCTCACAGGGCTGAAGCCTAAACAGTACCAATAAGAGCATTTAGTAACTTAATCTCCCCACTAAAGCAAGTCCATAAGTATCAAAAGAACACATTACACATTTGACATGGTATTTTCATATGTAATTCTTTTTCTTTACTATTGATAAATTTCAAGTAACTTCAAGCAAAAACGTTTATGTTCTGAGATGCCAGACATCCAAACAATCTAATAGGCAATTATTTTGGGAAGAAGCAAATACAAAAGATGATTTTGAATATGACAAGAAGAACAGGAAGAGCTGTGGCTACAGCACAGATTCTAATCCTGAGAACCAGCAAATATTCTCAACTCTACCAGACAATTCCTACACAAACCTTCTGGCACAGAATGTCCCTAAAATGATAGTCAAATTTCAATGCCCCAGGGAATGTGGATATGATAAGGGAGGTGGAATAGCAACATTCAAACTTGTTACTGTTCCAAAATACATTTTAGGGCTCTTGACATTGATCACAGAAATGTAAATTATTGATTGGTTCTATTTGTCATTATTTAAAAAACTAATATGTTACTGTATTAACATACTCTGGGACCAATTAACTCTAAACCATTTGAAGGCTGACAGCTTAATACCTATACTAATTTGTTAATTTGTTTCTTCATACTGGTATGAGCAAAACTGATCCATTACATAGAAAATGAGTTTTGCTTTACTTTCACAGCTGTATTATAAAATAGCTGACCAAAGGCATGCAGTTGATACAAATTTATTTTTAATGGAAGTATGTGGTCATTCTCTTTTACTTCTAGAGTATAAAAGCAAAACAAAAAAACCAAAATAGCAATATAAAAGAAGTGTTTTTGAAACAACATAGATCTTAATTAAAATTACTTCACAAGCACACACTGATCTCCAGGATACAAACAGAAAAGAAAAATAATGGCCTGTGACATACAGAAAGGCAGAGCAGATGCTTCACTGAACTCAAACAGATCATTATTCTGCAAACAAAGTATTCAACCTCATACTATAATGCCCAATTCACTATTATTAAGGCATTTTGGTTTCATTTTCACACAATGAATTCGAGAGACAACTATTTTACAGCAACTGTGCTCAGGCAGAGACAGGCAGATAGCAGCTGCTGTCTCTCCAGAAGCTCTTCCTCAAGGAAAAATATTTTATTCTTTGGACACACCATGGACCTGAAGCCAAAGACTGAATTTATCCACCTAACCATAATATGTGCTTGAGGCAAATGCTCTGTATGTTTATCTCAGCCAGCTCACTGGCTGAGGAGGTGTGAAAGTAAAAAGTCCCTGCCTCCTAAGGCTACACAATTATGACACTACTGGGCTAGGATTTCAGCACATTCCCTCTGGCTGCGGGGAAGGAATTAGGGGGAGAACAGTGCAAGAGATGATCTGACCCCCACATGCACATCCCTGAAAAGCTCCTTGTCTCTTTTTTTAATCACACTCCTCAAAACACTTCTAAATCCTACCCCTAAGACTTACTTGTGACAGAACACAAAGAGCATAAATTAACAAAATTCAAAGTTAAGCAGAATGCAGAACGTATCCTGAACCATTAACAAAGATCTCACTAACCTGATTCATCTCTCATTTCCAGACCCTTGGCTTTCAGTCTTGAATAAATAAATTCTTCTTTTTCCTAAAATGTTTTTCCACATTAGAATGAGATGTAGTCAGTCCTTGAAGTTAACCATTGTTTTTAATTATATAGCAATGTGGCATTCAACAACCTTTGAAATAACTAGCAATACTCGTTATACTTGGAGTGTCAACTAAACACTTTTCTTAATGCAGTGAGTTAAACTGGTCACTTAGATCCTGCTACCTGCATGCATCAATTAATTCATGCAAGTGTGCTGCTGATACTTATAAAACTGATTTCTGGAGTAAAACTACAGCCAAACTTCAGTGTTGTCTGACAGGATTCAACCTTTCAGTCTATAAAACAAATTATGGAAATGTGCTGTACTTTATAACTGAGATTTTGAGCATAGAGAAAAACATGCAGCCTAAAAAAATTAAAATTATTTTGATGGAAACACAATAATTTGTGTGTGAGTTTTAGACTTTAAATTCTGTGGAATTAAAAAAAAAAACAAGCTTCATTTTTTCTGGGGTTTTTGCAAGTTTTGAGAAAACATGATGTTCAACATCATAAATGATGATGAATTACCGAACTGTTACTATTCTTCCACAAAATGCCACAGTGGTTGGGAGATGCTAAAATCGGGAAAGAAGACAGACTCACTTTAGCCTTGTTGAGATACACTACCAGTGAAATGGGACATATTATTTGACCTCATTTAGTTTTGGTACTTACACCAAATTTCTCTTACTTATGACAAGAGAAAAAAAAGCCATGAAATCATTTTCAACAGCTGCTCTAGTCACAGACAGGTCTTGCATGTAGGGCGGCTACAACTTTATACTTTCAGTGCACGACAGGAAAAAGACAAATACTCTATGTCACTAGGCAGCAATAAAACCTGCAGGATTTTTGAGTTTTCGGCATAACTTAAAGAAATGAACGACAAAACCGCCATTTCCTCCGTGACCCTGAGCGCATTAACAGCGGGCAGAACTGAGCCGCACCTCAGAGAGGCCAAGCCCGGCAGTTTTGGGCGGGCAGGCGGGCGCTGAGCAGCAGCAGCAGCGGTAGCGGTGCGAGGCCCGGCTCACCTGGCGGAAGGCGCGGTTGTGCCGTGCCCAGAAGCGCTGGTTGCTGGCCTGGGCCTCCTGGCGCGCCTCCCGCAGCCGCCGCTCCAGCGCCGACTCCTCGGGGGGCACGTAGAAGATGACGGGGCGCAGGTTGGAGTGCTTGTCCGGCGGCCCGATCCAGTCACTGCGCGAGTGCGCGGGGGGACGGAACCCCAGGCCCTGCCAAACACAGACACAACGCCTCATCAGCGGAACGTCTCCATTTGGAATAAACCTTCAAACGCCACGGAACCTTAAAGCATGCAAACATAGTAAGTTCAGAAATAAAGCACATTTATTTACTGTGACCAAAAACAATGGCGTACATTTACTATTTACTTCTACTTACAAACGCACTACAGAGAAGATACCTTTAACTCTTTTACCACAGGCATGAATCATGAGGTATTTTTTTAATTAACCTTTTTGTTTATTTTCATTTCTCCATCACAGATACTCTGTTAAAATGTCTCACGGAGAGAACTAGCAAGCAAGCAAGTTTTTCATGGTGCTGATCTCTGCCCTCTGGCGACCGGTGACAGAACCCGAGGGAGCAGGATGAAGCTGTGTCAGGGGAAGTTTAGGCTGGATATTAAAGGCTCTTCACCCAGAGGGCTGATGGCCACCGGAACAGACTGCCCAGGGATGGGGTCACGGCCCCAAGCAAGATAAGCTCAAGGAGCTTTTAGACAAGTCTGCAGACACATGCTGCGATTCTCAGCAGATTCACATGCTGCTCTGTGCAGGGCCAAGAATCGGATTTCAGTGACCCTTTCTATGGGATTCTTTCCTTGAAATTCCGCATATTTAATAAATCTATGATTTTAAGTTTTCCTCAGCCCAGCGTTCTTCCTGCAGCCGTGCGCCCACACCATGGACCTGAATGAACCCAGCCGGGATCAGTAACACCGGGAGCTACCGAACCAGCCCAGACCGCAGCGCCCCTCCAACAGACACCGGGGGCCGCGACAAACACATCGCAAATCAGAGGCCGCGGAGAACGCGGTTTGCCACCGGCCGCCCCCGCCCCGCCAGCGTTACCGGGGGGCAGCCGGAGCGCTCCCCACTCAGGGCTCCGGCGGCACCCGACGCTTCCCCCAGGGTCCCCGCAGAAGCTGCCAACCCGCCCGGGTTTACCGCACTGTCCGGCTGCTCCCCGCCCTCAGCCCCGCGGCCGCCGCTGAAAGAAGCGGAGGAGGAGGAGAGGAGGCGGCGGCGGCAGCGGCAGCAATCACCGGCCCGCAGCACCCAGGCGGCCGCCATGGCCCCGCGCTTTACGGCGCTGCCGCTGCGGGCGGGGCGGGGCCAGGTCGGGGCAGGGGCCGGGGCCGGGGCCGGGCCCGCCTTGGCCTCCGCCTCCCTCCGCGCGGCCGGGCCGGGCGGGGCTCGGGCGGTTCGCGGCGCTCGGCCCGTGGCGCAGCGCCGGGCCGGGCAGCGGGTCCTCGCCGGGCGGCGGGTAAGTGCGTGACCGAGGCAGGTCGCGGGAGTCGCGTGGGTTCGCTGCGGGGCCGGTGGGGACGAACGTCCCGCAGGTGTATCAGCGGTGGCCCGGTGTTATTTCCTCTTCGCTCTGCGCCGGGCCCCACCGCGGGGGGAGGCGGGAGCTTGCGGCCATGGAGGGGCAGGAGGCATTGAGTGCTGAAGGGGAGCAAGGTATGTGAGGGGAAGGAGCGCTGCCCCGGGGTTGTGGCGCCCGAGGGCGCTCGGGTTCGGCCGCTGCTCTCCCCCCGCGCCGGGTTCTCCCCTGGGCTGCGGGTGCCCTGTTTGTTCTGCGGCTTCAGCTGCGGAGCAGGTGGGGAAGGCTGGGGGTGAACAGCCGAGAGCTGGGCGTGTGGCAGCTAAATCATCGCCCCTGCGGCCCGACCGGGAGAAAGGTGTAAAAAATTAAAGGGCTGTTAAATATCAGCCAAGTGGTATATTGGTGTTGGTGAAGATACTTAAAATAGCTGTAATGCTTAAGTGCTTCAGCAGAAGTTGCAACGTGTGATCGTGTAGCACTTAAGCAAGTCTTGTTCTTATTTTCTTTGTAGTTCATCTGGAGCTGGACGAGGGAAGAGGAATGGATATGGGTAACCAACACCCATCCATAAAACGGTTACATGAAATACAGAAAGAAGTCAAAGAGATTGAACAGCAAGTGGCTCTCTTCAGCGGTCTCTCTACCGACCGAGATTACAAGAAATTGGAAAGAAGCCTTACGAAACAGCTTTTTGAAATAGATTCTGTAGACACCGAAGGGAAGGGGGATATTCAGCAAGCCAGAAAGCGAGCTGCCCAGGAAACTGAGAGGCTGCTGAAGGAACTGGAACAAAATGCAAACCATCCGCGCAGACTGGAAATAGAGGCTTTATTCAAGGAGGCACAGTCACTTGTGGAACGTGAGATCACACCTTCTTACAAAGGAGGAAACTGTATAAGTGATGAATTTGAAGAAGGAATTCAGGACATTGTGTTGAGGCTTACCCAGGTGAAAACTGGAGGGAAAGTTTCTCTCCGCAAAGCAAGATACCGCACTCTGACAAAGATATGTGCTGTCCAGGAGATTATAGAGAGTGGTGTAAAGCAACAGCTGTCCCTGCCACTCTCTAATGATGCACATCCCTCTGTCTCCAAAATTAACTCTGTAATGTGTGAGGTGAACAAAGCCAGAGGAACTCTCATTGCGCTTCTCATGGGAGTGAGTACTAATGATACCTGCAGGCATCTGTCCTGTGTGCTCACAGGCCTCATTGCTGATTTGGATGCTTTAGATGTCTGTGGTCACACAGAAATAAGAAATTACAGAAAGGTAGTAGTAGAAGAAATCAATAAATTGCAGAGATACCTGGACTTGGATGAAGAAGCAAATTCTACACATGCTTATGATTTGGCACAAAATCAGTCCATTCTAAAAATAGAAGAGATCCGTAAGAAGATGAAGGAAGTTAATTCCTTACTTTTAAAAACAGAGAATGCTTCTGATTTGTATCTGGGATCCAAAGCAGAGCTGCAGGGACTAATTGCCCAGCTAGATGAAGTAAGTCCAGGAAAAAATCCCTGTATTAGAGAGGCCAGGAGAAGAGCAGTAATAGAAGTTCAGACTCTTATAACATATATCGATTTGAAGGAAGCACTGGAAAAAAGGCAAATGTATCCAGAGCGAACTGCTGCCGAACATCAGTCCCATAAAGCAATTTGGACTGTACTTGGAAACTTGTCTCAAATTCAGCAAGAGGTGATTTCATTTGATGGAAACAGAACAGATAAAAATTACATGAGACTGGAAGAACTTCTTACAAAACAACTTCTATCCCTGGATGCTGTTGATCCACAAGGTGACGAACGGTGTAAGGCTGCCAGGAAGCAGGCAGTAAAGCTTGCACAGAATATTCTTTACTATCTGGACATGAAAACAGATGAATGGGAATACTGAAACAACCATGGCCTGACATAGAAGAACATTCTTCCCTTTAGCACTTTATGAAGATCATTGGCAGCACATAATAAAGTGTTCTGTGCTTGCTGAAATCATGGAGATTGCATAAGCAGTTGACTTGGCTATATGTCTGCTATCCCACGCAGTCACCCACTTACCATGGCAACTGTCAGTACACCATCAGCAATTCTGGTCACTGCTATAAGCAAAGAAGTGCAATTCTCTGAAGGAATAGCTTAATACTTGATCAAATAGCTTCCTTTTTTTCTTTTTTTTTTCTTTCTTGTTTTGGTTTCAATAGCCTTGTACAATGTTCAGTGAATGCAGGTTTTTCAAAGACACAGAAACTTCCATATGGTATAGTACTGGCAAAACTATTTAAGGAGACAGGACGTGAAAATTAGTATTCAGGCATGAGGCTCCATCCAGCAACTTCACAGCAGTCTGGATGTACTGTTAATGTGCTGTTATGACATAAAGTACTAAGGGCAAAAAGCCTGCTGGCTTTTGGGTTGTACTTGATTTATTCCATCCATCATACCATCTAGTTTTCTCAGTTAATGGAGTTATAATGCCAGCTGCAAATTAGCATTTACATAGGCAAAGCCAATTATGTCAATTTTTGTAATACCTGTGCCCTTTGATTTGCAAAACCAGGTCTTTTGTTGGTGGAAATTCTTTCAAGTTATTGCTTTAAGGTACTGAGACTTGGAGAGGAAAATCTGTACTATACCAAACAGATAAAGGGGATTTAGAGGATTTCAAACTGCCATCCATAAAGCCTTGAAAACTGCACTGAACTTTATTTAGTGGCTGCTTAGGTGTCTTTTTAAACTCTGCTGTTGCATCTGGTTTTTACTTTTGGCAAAAACAGAAACAGAGTTCACATTGAAGTGAAATGTGCATTTTGGAATTATTTTTGTAAAATTAGGTAGCCAGCTATAAAGATGTCCCTAATGATGTAAGTGTGTGCTACATGGTCAGGTGTGGCTTCAAGCATGTCTTGGAAAGACTTGTGGCAAATATCTCTCTTTGCAACTCATTCACTGAATTGTTTTAGCAGCTTCATAAATAAGCTTGCTTGTACTGTTGTATGCACCTACCTTTTTTTTGTGGCTGCTAGTGCCAATCACATTTCTACTATAGCATGTTTTTTGGCATTTTTGAGAGCATGGCATTAAAACGATTTAAGTATATATAGCTATATATAAAGAATATAGATGTATATAAAGATATATTCAGTTATGGATAATTTGCACTTAGCTCTTTCAGGATGAACTAATGAGTTATTGTTCTATAGATGATGATTTGCACCACTTTAAGGAGTAAAATCCATTTCGGATGTTACAATAAATATTTTTAAGATCTATTTTTGTTTGATTAGAGAAGACAGTACTGTCTGTGAGAGACAAGTGCCTTTATGACACTGCTAACTTGCACCATCATATGTAGATGTAGGAACTGTTTACTGGCAGCTTGATACATTTGTAATCTTTGCAAACTGGATTTTTCAGGTATATATCTAATTTTACTGTAGTATATGTCAAGCTAACATAATACAATAGGTGACAGTTGCCCTTTAGAGTCCTGAGAATGAGTATCAAATTTGAGAAACATATTCTTAAAAACTAAAGCACTGGTGTGGAGGTGTGGGACTTTGGGCAGGTCTTCTGTGCCTATTGCTACAAGAATAATACGTTTGTTCATACTATGAGATGTTGATTGAAGGCTGCATACCTTCAGAGTGTGAATAGATTCTGTTTGTGATTGTACAGGTGATTGTTTTGCAAATCTACTTGCCAAAACCGACGTAATTGAGTACAGTGCCTAAGGCACAATTTGGCAATGACAGAATGTTTCTTGGAGGATTCGTCCTGCTCCTTCAGAGACACAACCCCATTGAATTTAACTCTCCTTCATAAAAAAAAAAGATTCCCCTAATTAAAATTCCAGTCTCTATTTGGCTATTATGTGGCTAACACAGAATATTAATAGTGTTACATACAGGTGTTAATACA